TAAACCCAAACCTTGATGACAAATGGAGATGGAGGTTGAACAAGAAAGGAAATTTCTCAGTGGCTTCTTCATATGCTCATCTTATGGAGCAGAAAATTCAAAAGATGGATGTACCTGAGAGCAGCATTAAAGACTCTCATGACCAGGTGGCTAGGAACAGACTGTGGAAATTGAAAGTAAAAGGGAAACTGAGGCACTTTATATGGAAGTGCTGCAATGGTACCCTTCCTGTTAATTTGAATCTTAAAAAGAGAGGGATGAAGGTGGATTGCATATGCCCATCTTGTGGAGGAGGAATAGAAACTGTGGAGCATTTGTGTTTCCAGTGCCCTCGAGCTGAAAAGATTTGGAAGCTGAGTCCAATAAAATGGGATGGGATTAACACTGAAAATTGTACTTTCAGAGACTGGTGGAATCACATATGTGAAACAGGTAAATGTGCTATTAATGAAGATAGAATACAACTTTCCACGTACCTACTTTGGTGGTTGTGGAAAACTCGCAATATGTGGATATTCAAAAAGGTAATGATCCCTGAGCACTTGGTGGTTAAAAAAGCAGTTGGGGAGTGGTCTGAATTTTCGGTGAAGGCCAGATAGCTTAGCTGATTTTCCTCTCAGAAGACCAGTGGCTGGGGTTCTCTTTTTGCTGTCTTAGTGTCTTTGTTTTCATTTTGGTCTTGCTTTTTGTTCTTTCTCTTTCTTGTGGTAGTTCAGGTGATTGTTTTTTTTTAGTTGGGGCTTGTTTGCAGTTAGAGTTTGCTGGTGGTGTGTGGTTTTTCTATCTTGGCTAGGTCCTTGGACAGTAGCTGGGGTTTTTTTTCTTGTGTGTCGGATTGCAGATTGGTGTTGGAGGCTAAGGGTCTGGTCTGCTCATGCTTAGTCTCGTTCAGTTGGTTGTGTCTTTAGGCCGCCTGTGTGCGTGTCCTCCCATTTTTCTTTTCATTGTTTGGCCATTTTCGGTCTGGTCTCGCTTGTATTCGAACTTGGTTCGTTTGTTATAGATATAATATCCCTTTCGTTTTGGAAAAAAAAAAAAAAAAGACACACAATTTGCAACAACTATTGCTTGATCAATTAAAAGATTTACTAATTGCAATCTTGTCGTTGACCAAAATTTTATTGCATTTAATTGTAGCTGGGACAGTCTGTTTGTTTTATTCAATGTTAACAAGTTTTTACCTCACCTAGTTCAGTCCTCACACATACCCATCTCAGTGGGGCCGTTTTACAAATAAGAAAATACAAAAGGACTTATCACGAATTATAGTCATTTGAATTTTTGACCGTTGGCCCTCTATTTTTTTTTGTTCTTTTGTTTTTTCA